GCACTTTTCGCGTTTTTTTGGCTTGTGGAGAGTTTTTTGACTTCTATTCGGCACTTTGGCGCTTTGTCTTTGGGTCATACTGAAAACACCATGTTTCATCACCCGTAACAATTGATTTCAGGAAGTTTGAATTATTTCATAGGCAGAAATGATGTCCCTGCAATGTGCAATTCACACTGATTTCTGCTCGCCCGTTAAAGTGTGTGGAACAAATTTAGTACAGACTTTAGTTTTACCTAAATCTTCATGCAGAATGGTTCGAATCGTTTCTTTGTTGATGTGTAAAACCTCTGCCATCATTGTTTTAAACAAATTCTCGCACTTTTTCTATACTTTCTGGTGTCTTTGAAGAACTTGGTCGTCCAGTATGCTTATCATCTTCTAGCGTATTTCTTCCATCCGAAAAACGTTTGTGCCAAATGAAAACATTTGATTTACTCAAACATAACGTACCATAAACTTGCTTCATCAAAATATATGTTTCCGATGCACTTCTACCAAGTTTTACATTAAATTTAATGACCGCTCTCTGTTCCATCTCAGAATTCCGACAAACAAAAAATTTTACTTTTCAAAAATCGCCTGTATGTTTTTAAAGAGTTAACCAAAATGGCTGAAACAAAGCCACGCGCTAGATAAGGCTTCGAATATATATACGCATGCGCAATTTCATAACTGGCTCTGCTATTAGCCTTTATCTAGCGAGAGTCTTAAAAATTATTTGCCGCACTGTATATAAATAGATAATAACCATAGTTACTGCAATGAAAAAATATATTGGGAGGGCTTGGCTCATCAGTGGTGAACCCTCCCAGTGGTTTCGCCAATTTAATCCACCAGACCGCTTCTCAGAGCTCTAATACTGTATTGGATCATTCTGTTTATATAAGCAGCACTGAAGGGTGGAATCTCAGAAATGGTTTTCAAGTAAACTATTGACATAAGCTTATAGGACAGAATTACATTCAAATATCAAAGTTTAGAGTATCAAAATATAAATATACAGTTAAACCTGTCTATAGCGCCCCCTCTTGGGACTCACCAAAATAGGGTGCTATAGACAGGTCACTTTTAATGTAAAATGTTTACATTTTAATGTTTAAAATCTGGTGCTATAGAGAGGAAGGTGCTATTTAGAGGGGGCGCTATAGACAAGTTTAATTGTATATATATATTTTTGCTTATCCCTAGTACATGTGGTACAGGCCACTGAAAGATCACCGCCTGTATCAATCCAAGCCACACATGAACCTATCTTGTCCACATTAATATTAAAGGGGGTCGATGGAAGGATGTCTAAACCATTAATTTTCCACTGCTATGACCTGGATTCGATTTCGCATTGAGCACTATTTTATGATTAAAAAAAAAAAAAATGCTCCAATAGCCCCTGATTCTTAGAAAAGTCCAACCCCATCAGCGAGTGGAAGTAACCAAACGGGACTCTGGCATATTTGTAAGTGCAAAAGTGGAACTGCTTTACACATGTGTAGACATGTGGTGCACATACAGTAAAATATTATCATGTCCTGTACCACATGTACTAGGGATAATAAAAAATAAAAAAACATTGATATTCACTCTGTGTTACAACTACTAAAGTAGTCAACTTTGTTTATATAAAAAATTATGTAATTTAAAAACGAAGGAAAAAGACAAATATGTAAATTTTATTTTTTCTCGACCAATGATTGCGTGTCTTAGATTATAAATTGGCCGTGTTGTTCAATAAAATTAGTTTTGGAGGGGGTCGGTGGAAGGATGGTCTAAACCGTTGGTTTTTGACCGCTACGACCTGGGTTCGATTCCCGCATTGGGCACTTTTTTATGTTTAAAAAAATAATGCTCCAATGGCCCCCGATTCTTGCAAAAGTCCAACCCCACCAGCGAGTGCAAAGTAACCAAACGGGGCTCTGGCACATTTGTAAGTGCAAAGTCGAACTGCTTTTCACATGGGTATACATGTGGTGCACTTACAGTAAAAGCAGTTGCCTACTTCTACCCACCATGATTATCATGGCCTGTACCACGTGTACTAGGGATAAGCAAAAAAAAAAAAAAGTTTTGGATAATTGATAGTCATTCTTTACATTAGAGCCTCTTTCTTTGGGTCAGGAAAAGTTGTTGTTTCTTATCCCCTTGTGTAAAGATTACACAAATTCCATGAGTTCATGCTCCTCAAGCTGTTTTATGATAAGCAGTGGCCTCTCCCAAAGGTCCTGTTTAGTGCATATAATTCAAGCCAAAAAATGGAGAAGTACCTCCGCCAGCCAAAAACTAAACACCAGGTTGTCTCTCAGGGAAAGAAAGACAACTTTTATATTAAAGGGAAATAGTAACCCTCCCTCAATACTCTGTATCTATGGCCCAGATTTTTACCTCCATTTATACATGGGGTAGTTTTGTCGTTGTTTCTATCTTCAATGGCTTGAGATGGCCTGTTCTTCTCTTCTTCTTCTTTCTTATCTCCACTCAATCATATTAGGGTATCAAGCTTGTTTGAAAACCATGATTGGGTGAAGTAGAATGCGCCTGCCTTTGTCATTAAGACTGGGAGCACTACTCAGTGGCAAGCCGACTTAGCTCCAAAAGAAATGGCCGCCTCTGACATGAGGAACAGATGCCATGTGCTGCTGCTCCTAACATGGAGTACAGACTCATCCTGTATCCCTGGAACCCTTACAGGGTACTATCAGCCGGGCCAGCTAAACCCAGGTTTTTTAGTGAGCTTGTTACTGCTTCCCCTCCTCCTTTTTCATCCGGGCTTGTTAGTGTTGTTTGTCTGAGGTTCAGAATGTGACTGAAAGTGATATGAACAAATCGGGAAAACAGGACAATTCATGCAATTTAATCACATTTGAAATTAGAAAGGCTTGTAAAAAATAATATATAAAAGAGTATTTTAAAGATAATATGGAACAACTTGAATTATAGATTAAAAACAAAGATAAAAAGGCCAAATAAATAATAATGTGTGTTGTTTCTATAGCAATGTTGTTTACTGAAATGTTACAATTTATTTATTTGGATTTGGTCTTATTACCTTGTGAATATTAAAGAGTTATGAAAATACAAATTTTTATCATAATAGATTATAAACACAAGGTAATAACACCAAATCCAAATAAATAAATTGTGTGTGACGTTACCATCATCAGACAAAAGTACTGAATGAAGAGTATTTAAAAGTTTTTATTCAGCACTTTTGATAAGGCAAAATTTGGATTATTTATTATAAACACAAGGCAATAAGACTAAATCCAAATAAATAAATAGTTTGTGATGTTTTGGTAGCAGCGTTGTTACCATCTTCAGACAAAAGTACTGAATAAGAAACTATACCATAGCATGTTTTAAATAGTTACTGATACATTAGAACCTCCATGAGAGGACACCTCTCTACAAAGGACAGTTTGGTCCTGCAATTAAGTGTCCTCTACAGGGAGGTTCTACTGTATCATTAACTATTTAAAACATGCTGTGGTAAAATTTCTCATTCAGTACTTTTGTCTGAAGATGGTTACAACGCTGTTAACACATCACACACTATTTATTTATTTGGATTTGGTGTTATTACTCGAGACACCTAATGCTGGAATGCCCACTCTTCTTCACCGCTAGACAACAGACAATGTTGTAGATCTATATCAATTTGTAAATAGCAGAGAGAATTATCATATATTTAACTATTTTTGTAAATATATTTATCTTTCTAACCTGAAAGGTTCAGGTTCCTAATATATATTATTGTTTATCTTTTTTATTTTTGATTACCTTTTCTTGTATAATATGTTTATAACTGTTTCTGTTTAAAAAATGTAAATCAATGCAATTATCCCTAGCCGAGATATTGTGTTTTGTGTGTTGAAATAAAATAAACTCATTGTTTATAATCTATAATCCCAATTGTACCTTATCATTGGTATAAAAGTAAAAAATTAATTTTTATAAAAAAGGTATAAATACATTTTTACATATCTACAGGGTGAGTAAACAGTTCAATTCTCTGAAGAGCTGGAAGAACCGGAGCTTTCATCATCAAAGGGCACTACCACTGGAGGCTGGATGGGTTTCCGTCGAGCTATCCTGGTAGGTACAGACTTCCCCCTGGTCTTCTGGGGTCTGGATTGTTTGGTTGGTGGGGCCGTGGTGGGAGCCATCTTGCCAACTGCTTTCTGAAGGCGTTTGCTGGGAAACAGCTTCTCTTGTTTCTGTAATGTGACTGAGAAGAAAGAGTCAATCCTGGCCTGGTCCTGCGCCCCAAATGTATTTGTTAGAACTGTGCTAGTAGTCTATGTGTGTGTATGTGTAGCTGTTAGAGAACTGTTGAGCCATGTTAGTGTAACATAGACCCATGTTAGTGTAACAAAGACCCATGTTAGTGTGCCACAAGGCCATGTTATTATGCCATGACTATGTTAGTGTACCACAGAGCCATGTTAGTGTACCCAACAGACATGTTTTTGTTCCAAGTAAGCAAGAGTCCATTCCTACCTTGGGATCCTGGAGTTTCTTGAGGATGGGTTGGATCATCTGGTCCACCTTGTCTTTGCTCCAGCCAAACTTACGCTGGCCGTACGTGGGGGCAGTAAGTCAAGGTCTGTCTCATGACATCTAGGGAAAGAGATAAATTAGGGCTCTGCAATTAGGTGTTGTCCTTTACAGGGAGGTTTTACTGTAGCAACTCTCTGGTAAGAGGACACCTCTCCCTAAAGGACACTTTGGCTCTGCAATTAGGTGTTGTCCTTTACAGGGAGGTTCTACTGTACAAACTCTCCGGTAAGAGAACACCTCTCCCTAAAGGACACTTTGGCTCTGCAATTAGGAGTTGTCCTTTATAGGGAGGTAGTTCTACTGTAGCAACTCTCCAGTAAGAGGACATCTCTCTCTAAAGGACACTTTGGCTCTGCAATTAGGAGTTGTCCTTTACAGGAGGTAGTTCTACTGTAAATGCCATTTAATGAAATGATTGTTTTCTCTTAGAAAGAAGCCGCTGAGGAGCCTCATAGATCACAAAATGGGTCGGTGGAAGGCTGGGTAAACCGTTTGGTTTTCGACCACTAGGACCCGGGTTCGATTCCCGCATTGGGCACTTTTTTCTGTTTAAAAAAAAAAAAAATGCTCCAATGGCCCCCGATTCTTGCAAAAGTCCAACCCCACCAGCGAGTGCAAGTAACCAAACGGGGCTCTGGCATTTGTAAGTGCAAAGTCGAACTGCTTTTCACATGTGTAGATATGTGGTGCGCTTACAGTAAAAGCAGTCGCTAACTACCCACCATGATTATCATGGCCTGTACCACGTGTACTAGGGATAAGCAAAAAAAAAAAAAATGTCCACACCTTATCAAGGTATCAAGCTTGTAGAGCTTGTTGATGGTGTCTGCTGGGGATGTGTTCATCAATGTTGCTGACCCGCTGGTGATTCTCCACCAAACTCAGCAGAGGTGGCAGAGGAGCCATGTACATTGTACATAGTTTCATGTATATATATACTAGCCAAATGACCCGGGCAACACCCGGGTTTTACCTGATTAAATGCTTTTATTCAAATACTATTCGTTACAATTATAAATTGGCATCGTGGATGTCATTCTTGTATAATATATAAATGAGTTTTAAAAATTGTAAAAAAAAAAATGCATCGACTGGGAATCGAACCCTGGCCGCCCGCGTGGCAGGCGAGCATTCTACCACTGAACCACCGATAGTTATGAGAAATGGCCATATTTGGGTACTTATTCCATTCACAAAGCAAACGGTAACAAAATTGATTAAGAAATAATTGATTATGACGCTGATAAATGTATATATATTAATAAGAAATGGAAAATTTGCAGGGAGGAAATTAATCCATTGAAGCATAGGGCGCCTCTCCCGTCAAAACAAGATGCCATCTATTGACCGTCACCGCAACTAGCGGCCTCAGGTCGGTAACAAAGCCACAACACCAGCTTTGGCAAACTGAGAAGCGTCCACCTAGAAACTATGGTTTCGGGCTGATGGCCCTCATCAGTCTAAGGCGGATTTTATTCCATGAGATCCACACGGGATCTAATGGAATCTTGACAATCTACCAAAGAGGTGTTTTGATGGCAAGGTGGCTGGGCCAAATCTATGGCTAGAATATAGATAGAAATAGAATATAGTTACAGCGACGGTCAATAGATGGCGTCAGTTTTTGACATTTATTTTGACCGGAGAGGCGCCCTATGCTTCAATACACCTATCCCCCGATTTACACGGTACTTGTTTTACACGTTTTCGCTTTTACACGGTTTTCCAAATAAGTTTTTTTTTTTTTTTATCGCACAATACTAAATGCTACTGTGATTGAACACATGCGCTGTGTACACATCTCACGACCCTCGGCAGAGCTGACTGCTATAGGGCGCGTCCCCAGGTGGCGGATAGGGGAACGACCTTCAGATATGAAGGCCAGCTGCGAAAAAAGCAGAATAACTCTGACGAATAAGCAGTCGCGGACCAACAGCAGCATTGTTAGAAGAGGAGTAGACCTCTTTAAAAATCCTGACTTCAACTGACCCAGTTGATAGACCTCAGCAAGGGTCCCACTCCAGGGATACGGAGGAGCTGCGTCTGTACTCATGTTAGAGTCGGCAGCAAAGGTGTCTGCTTCCATGTTAGGAACGGCCTCAAACTACAGGCAAAGTCAGACTTTCACCATAGTGTGCCTGGATCATGGTGCCATGATCAACGAAAGCTGCACCTCTACACCCCATTCCATGAGATCACTCATGGAATTCGTGTAATCTTTACACAAGGGGATAAGAAACAACAACAACAACACATCTCACAAGGAATCCCGAGCTTATGTGCTGACTACATATTTTAACCTGTCAATGCATTTTATTTTTATTTCTGCGTACACCTATCCCCCGATTTACACATTTTTCTCAGGAACGTATCTACCGTGTAAATCGGGGAATAGGTGTATATAATTATATTTTTATAATTGACAAGATGTCAATAAAATTATTGTCTTAGAAAGAAGTCTAGTTAGTTCCCAGATAAAGGATATTGTCTGAGTAGGTCGAGGTCAGGTCGGCCCCAGGTGAAGGAATCCTTGGAATTGTCCACCGTAGGCTCCAGGTAGGCTTGCCATATCTCTGGGTCCGGGAAGTTGGTGGGCAGTGTGAATCTACGCAGCTTGGCACGGACTGAAGTAACAGGAGCTGTCGAGTCCTTCTGGACTGCTTGCCACCATTTCCTGTACAGCTCAGTCTGTCCCACTGATTTCTAACAGTAAACACAAGATAATGATAAGGCACAATTTGGATTATAGATTAACAACACAAGGTAATAAGACACAACAAATAAATGATAAGGCACAATTTGGATTATAGATTAACAACACAAGGTAATAAGACACAACAAATAAATGATAAGGCATAATTTGGATTATAGATTAACAACACAAGGTAATGAGACCAAATCCAAATATATAAATAGTGTGTGACGTTTCAGCGTTGTTACCATCTTCAGACAAAAGTACTGAATGAGAAATTTCACCGCAGCATGTTTTAAATCGAGCATGTCAAACTCACGGCCTGCGGGCCTCATGCGGCCCACAACGAATAAATTTGCGGCCCACCAGACAATATATTTTAATAAAAAAATTTTTATAAATTAAAAAAAAAATTAATAAAAATTTGTAGAATAATTTTTTAAAAATTGTAATTATACATAATTTATTTATTAATAACGAACCACTGGTCGCCATACATAAGTCGTACTTTTTGATAATATTATACCTACATACATAACGTATGTACATCGCCATAAGTATTGTGTGCCTTAAAGTTTAAAGAAAATATTCTTTCGGAGTACTAGAAAAAAATTTTTATTTTAAAGTTACGTTCAATAATTTGTGCAGTTATTCTGTGTCTGGTAAGTTGAAAAATATTAATTTTTAAAAACTTTTAAAAATATTAATTAAAACGTTTTATTATTTTGTGTTAGTGATTACTAATTTTTTTTCAGACCTTTGTATTCAATATGTCTTCATCAAAACCAAGTGGCAGTAAAACTAAACGAAAAATTGCTGACGAATTCCAATATTCATCATACGCATTGCATTATACATCAGGAAGTATTATGTACGAAGGTAATAAAAATGGAAAATGTGTTGACACCTATAAAAAAAATTCATCAATTTCATAAGATCTCGAGGTTTAAATCAGCGACAGTTCTCTCTGTTCTTAACTGAATTAGAAAGCGAATATTCAGGTTTATCATACTATACCGAGGTACGTTGGCTATCATGCTCCAAGGTTCTCAAACAATTTTGGGACTTGAAAGAAGAAATATGTCAGTTTTTAATAACCAAGAATCAAGACATCACTTTGTTTTCTGATCAAGTATGGTTGCAAGATTTTTCCTTCATGGTTGACATAACAAAACACTTGTCGGATTTAAATTTGAAACTGCAAGGAAAGGATCAGATCATTACCAACATGTGTGACCAAGTTAATGCATTCAAATGTAAGCTAGTTCTTTGGGAAAAGCAGTTGAAAAACGAAGATTTAATACACTTTCCGACATGCAACATGTACAAATCAAGTTTAGGTGAAACTGCATCGTATCAAAAATATGCGGAAAAAATTTTAAGTCTTAGAAATGAATTTGAAACAAGGTTTTCTGATTTCAAATCTTTGGAAGGCAAGTTTACCTTGTTTTCTTCGATTTTCTCGATAAATATAGAATCAGTACCTATTCATATGCAAATGGAGGTAATAGATATCCAGTGCGATTCAGATTTAAAGGCAAAATTCATTGAAGTTGACGTTTCTGAATTTTACAAATATTTACCAGCCAGATTTGAAAACACTTGAAAATTAGCATATGAAATTATGTCAATTTTGGAAGTACTTATCGGTGCGAGCAGTTATTTTCACTTATGAAAGGAAATAAGTCTCCAATCAGATCGAGAATTACTGACGTTCACCTTGGGTCAGTTTTAAAATTAATCACTGCGAACAAGATTTCCCCCGAAGTAGGAAAGATGGTAGCAGAAAAGAGATGCCAAATATCAGGGAGAAAATATTAACTTTACTTTCTTTTTTCTTATTAGTATTTTTTAAAATAAACCTACATAAATGTTACTATAAAAATTTAATTACTTGTTTTCTTTTTTTGCGGCCCACTTAATCTTATTACTTTTTTATTTGGCCCATGTTAGGATTTGAGTTTGACATGCTTGTTTTAAATAGTTACTGTTATCAAGTGTGTAAACACACACACAAACAATTCTTCTTATCTGTTATCTTGTTTACATTACTCTTATCTTCTATCTTGTTTACATATTTGATAACAGTAACTATTTAAAACATGCTGTGGTAAAATTTTTCATTCAGTACTTTTGTCTGTAGATGGTAACAAAGCTGTTACCAAAATGTCACACACTATTTATTTTGAATTGGTCTTATTACCTTGTAAACACAAGATAATAAAAACAAATCAAAATGGAGAGAGAAACCTACCTGAACTCCATCAGTGGCTGGATGCCCTCCCCACCTGAGAACTCGCTCAGCACCTCCATGGCTGTCACTGGGCCGATGCCCTCAATGCCTGTGGTGTAGTCACTGCCAGTCAGTAGGGCCAGGTTCACCATCTTGGCTCTGTTGAGGCCTGGACACTCAGTATGTTACACTGGGGTCTCACTCATTGCAGATTTTACTCTCTAGTACAGTAGAACATACTCCATGAGAGGACACTCACACTAGAGGACACTTCTCTACAGTAGAACATACTCCATGAGAGGACACTTACGCTAGAAGACACCTCTCTACAGTAGAACATACTCCATGAGAGGACACTTACGCTAGAGGACACTTCTCTACAGTAGAACATACTCCATGAGAGGACACTTACGCTAGAAGACACCTCTCTACAGTAGAACATACTCTGAGAGGGCACTCACGCTAGAGGACACCTCTCTACAGTAGAACATACTCCATGAGAGGACACTTACGCTAGAGGACACCTCTCTACAGTAGAACATACTCCATGTGAGAGGGCACTTACGCTAGAAGACACCTTTCTACAGTAGAACATACTCCATGAGAGGGAACT